GAAATGGTCCTTCCTCACTTACAATTTTAAAGAGAGGATACAAATGAATGAGTGAAAAAGCATTTACTATTTACTACATGCAAGCCCTGTGAGGCATACGCAAATAATAACAAATAAACTAGAATGTGATAGGACTAAAGGAGAGGTCCAGGCAGAGTGCTACAAGAAAATATGGGGCAATCCGAGGAGGCTCATGGAAGAAGTAGCTAAGCTTGCTCTCAAAGGAAAAAGATATTTTAAAAAATGGAGATGAGCAGGAAGTACATTTTAGGCATAGGGGACAGAACTAGAAGATAAAAGTGATAAAATTAGGGAGCAGCTTGATGGCCTAGTGGTAAAGCACTGGGCTTGGAACCAGGAATACTCCTTTGAGTCATGAGTTCAAATGCAACCTCAGACACTTAATAGCTTTGTGATCCTGAGCAAGTCACTTAACCCTGTTTGCCTCAGTTTCCTCATCTATAAAATGAGTTGGAGAAGGAAATAGCAAACCACTCCAATGTCTCTGCCAAGAAAACCCCAAATGACGTCAGAAGAGTCATACATGACTGAACAACAACAATAATAATTGATAGAATTAGAAGCAATAAGTGGAAGTTATAGACATTCACATTTTGAATGAATAAAAAGGAAAATGTCTTAAAAGCTGTCCCAAGGTGGAATGGGTTTCTTTTTAAAGTAGTTAGTTCTGATCACTGAAAGTCACCAAACAGATGCTTTGCATAGTTATACAGAAGTGAAAGATAGCAAATTCTACACTCTTCCCTATGGATGATATAATACTTGCTTTCCATGAAATCCAACCCATTCAGGACTTTCTTCTCATGATGTTGTGCTATCAATAATGGCACTAGAGGGCACTCTGAGCCCTTCTTTAGATTCTCAGGGTGCTTTTGAATTCCATATCTGATTGAAGCAGCCAGGATTGTCCTGTATTTAGCTACCTTTCCCATTACCAATGTTCCCCTCGCACTCTCTGCTCCATGCTGCTGAGGCCAGAATGTGGGGTTCCCATCGTCAGGACTTCTTCTTTCTTTCTCTGTCAAACATTGCTCCTTAGTGTTTGGACTGTCTCATAGACTCAAGGCACTGGGGCAGGAAAGGATCCCCAAACACAGACTGTTAGACTTTAAAGGAACCTTAGAACACAGAATAGTAAGACACAGAACACAGACACTTGGTCTAGAAAGCTATCAGAAGATAACTAGTTCAACCTTTTTATTTTATTATTTAATTTTCTTTTTTATTATAAACATAATTGACAACCACATTCTGATAAGTAAAGAACAAAAAAGATTATGTATGAAGCTAATCTTCTGTTACATAACTTATTTTTAATGTATATTAATTTAACAGAATTAACGAAATTGTCCTGTTTGTGTCTCCTTTTGAGTTTTTTCTTCTGTGTATTTCTTTGTTTCATTGATGCTCTTTTTCTTCTTTTTTTTCGTCTTTCTTATTTCCCAATAACTCACTCCTCCAAGAAAAAAAAATATCTCCTGAAGCAAAGCAATTCAAGCAAAATGCATCAACACATTGACCTTGTATGAAAATGTAGAATGTTGTCTCATTTTGTATCTTTAGTCCATTGTTGTTATTCAGTTGTTTTTCAGTTGTGTGCAACTCTTTGTGACCCCATTTGGGATTTTCTTGGGAAAGATACTGGAATGGTTTGCTATTTCCTTCTCCAATTCATTTTACAGATGAGGAAACTGAGGCAGACAGGGTTGAGTGACTTGCCTAGAGTCACACAGCTAGTAAGTATCTGATGCCAAATTTAAACTTAGGAAGGTGAGTCTTCCTGGCTCTATCTACTGTGCCACCTAGCTGCTATAGTTCATTTCCTGTGTGCCGAGAAGTGAGAAGTGTGCCCTACCATCAGTCTTCTAAAATCATAATTCATCTCTGCTTAACCACCCCACCCTCATCTTATAGATAGGAAAACCAAGGCTCAAGTGAAGTGACTTGCCCAAAGTCACAAAATTAGGGGTAGAATCAGCATTAGCATCCAGGTCTCAGTCCCTCTTTCTGTACTTTTCCCATTATACCCTGCCACCTTTCTTCAGATCTTTATTCTGTACAGCCTTAATTCTGTCTGACATCCGATGATCTGGGTGTAAGTTTCAGTTTCACCGTTTGCCAGATATATCACCTTTTAGAAGTCACTTCTCACTATGACCTTCAGTTTCCTCACATGTGAAATAGCAATAATAATCCTGGTATTACCTGCTATACAGGATTGTTACGAGGGTCAAAGTTGATGATGGATAGCAAAGTGCTTTGGAACTGTAAAATGATTATATAAAAAGATAATGATTAGCTGATAAGATATGATATCTTCCCCCCCCAGGAGTCAGCTGATTGTATGAAAGGTCCAGATAAGGCACACTCTAAGGTTCCTTCCGACTCTAATGTTCAGTGATTTTTCTCCAAATATTTGTAGTCTCTAATTCTTTTTCTAAGCAGATATGTATTAAAGATCACACTGCCCAGCACTTTCTTAATGAAAACTGAAAGGAGAGGGATTAGATTTGGTCTGTTGGTTTGGCCTTAGTAATAGTTTCAGACATTCAGAATTTGTCTTAATAATTATGTAGAAGATATGCTTTGAGACCACTATCGTATGCTCTATTCACCCTGGTAAGTCAGATCCATAGAAGGCACCTGGCAACTTCCCCCTTCAAGGTTCTAGGGGTCACCCTGAGGGGTTGGGAGAAATCTCTAGCATATCTGTGATCTTACTGCTGTGCTTCCTTTATTGATTACATATTGATGTAAATTTGATATAATACAAATTGACATAAAATAAAGCCAAATGATATAATAAAATATAATACAATATAGCAAATGAATAATAAATACATTATATTATTAAATATACAAAATTAAAATAAAGCCAAGCTTAGCTTTTAGAATATTGACTTACTAAGGTGTTATAGTAAGGACACTAGACACGAAACATCCCCCCAAATAGGGGTCACACTCTCTCGAAAACATATAGAATCCAGGGAAAAGAAGACTTATTCACAGGTCCTGGAAGTCCCTTTGCTAAAAGTTCTTTTCTCCTCTTCACTGGTCACCAAGATCCCTTGAGGTTTGGTTTTCTGCTAGACTCCTTGTCATGATGATTCTCAGATTTATTTATTTAGCTCTAACCTCTCTCATGACCTCCCGTTTCAAATCTCCATCTCAAAGTGGATTACTATAGACATCTTCAGCTCAACATGTCCAAAAGTGAACTCATTATTTTTCCTCCCAAACCCTCCCCTCTAGCTGTTACTGTCAAGAGCACCACCAACCTCTTAGTCACCCTGGATTGACACATAGCTGTCATTCTTAGCTCTTTACCCTCCCTCATCCCCCATGTATCTGTTGCTAAATCCTGTCAGTTCCACATCTACATGTAACATCTCTTTCATATGCCCACTTCTCTCCTATGTCATTGTTCAGTTGTTCAGTCATGTCCAACTCTTTGTGATCCTATGGACCATAGTATGTCAATACCCTCCTTGGGATTTTCTGGGCAAAGATACTGGAGTGGTTTGTCATTTCCTTCTCCAGCTCATTTTATAGATGGGGAAATGCAGGCAAACAAGGTTAAGTGACCTGCCCAGGGTCACACAGCTAGTAAGTGTCTGAGGCTGGATATGAACTTAGGTCTTCCTGTTTCTAGGCCTAGCACTCTATCCACTGAGCCCCCTAGCTGGCTCTGGAAAAGAAGGAAGAACACAGGCCTCCAAACACCATCTTTTGTTTTTTTCTTGCCCTTTTTTTTTGTTTTCTCTCTGTCTTTCTCTCTTTGTCTCTGTCTCTCTCAGAGGGCCAGCTGCAAACACCACTGCCTGACCCTTGTGGGCAGATCCACCACTAGAGGGATATAGATATAGAGAGGGTATAAGGTCCTCGAGAATCTCTTCTATGATTCCACCACAATTCTAGTTCAGGACCTCATCACTTCACACCTAGACTATGGCAATAGCCTTCAGGTTGGCCTCCCTGATTCATCTTTTCCTACACCAGTCTATCTACTCATATATCAAGGTAATCTTAGTGTTCAGGTCTGACCATATCTCCCCAACCCCACCCCCATTCAATGAACTCTAATGGCTTCCTATTAACCTCCAGAATTCAATAAAAAGTAATTCCCATCCCAAGGCCCATTGGTATGGGACTCTCTCTTTATTGGTGGAAATGAGTGTCCTGCCCTGTGCGAGAGATAAAATGGAGTTGGTTAGATTGGACTCTTTAAGCTCAAGTTGTTTTGGGCACTTCTGGTTTCCAGCTTCCAGAGAAAGGGTAGAAGAGGTCAATGCCACTTCAGGTTGCTGAAGGAAAAGACTCTGGGAAGACAAATCATGTTTGGTTTTAAAGCCCTTGCTAACCTGGGTCCCTCCTACTTTTCCAGTTGTTTTATACTTTATGCCCTTTGTGGATTTTACAATTCAGTGACACTGGATTCCTTGATGTTTCTTTCATAAGATGCTCATCTCCTGACTCTATGCATTTGCACTCATATTCCCTCCTCAACTCTACTTCTTGGCTTCCCTGGCTTCAACTAAAATTCTTCCTTCTGAAAGAAGCCTTTTTTTTTTTTTGCCTCCTTTGATGTAAGTGTTTTCCCTCTAAGATTATCTCCAATTATATATGTATATATGTTTTATATATGTATGCACCCCACATATATATGTGTGTGTGTGTGTGTGTGTGTGTGTGTGTGTGCAACAGCCAGGTGGCTCAGTGGATAGAGTGCCAGGCCCAGAGTCAGAAAGACTCATTTTCCTGAGTCCAAATCTAATCTAGCTATGTGACCCTGGACAAGTCAGTTAACCCTGTTTGCCTACGAGGCAGCTAGGTGGCTTAATGAATAGAGCACTGGGCCTTGAATCAGGAAAACATGAGTTCAAATCTGCTTCAGACACTTACTAGCTGTGTGACCCTGGACAAATCATTTAATCTCTGTTTGCCTTAATCCATTGGAGAAGGAAATGGCAAACCACTCCAGTATCTTTGTCAAGAAAATGTCGTGATCCACAGGTCACAAAGAGTCAGACATGACTAAGTAGCAAAATGATTCCAAAACCTTTCGGGTTTTAGAACCAACTCTGAGATCCTACGATTTGATGACTCTGTCTGTTAAGAAGGAAGGCTCCTTCCGATTCTGTGCCAGCTGGACAGCTGGGCCTGAGAAAGATCCTTTCTTCTTTGTTTTCTCTTCCTTCACTCTGGATGTCTCTGAGTCACTCTGAGTCCTTAAATGCCAAGGACAGGCATGTTTTTATCATGTCTAATCGAATAAAAATAGAAAGGAAAGTTAGTGAAATATAAAGACAATTGCCATGCTCCAAGAAGAGTTAATGCTGAAAAAATGTCTTCCATTCCATTGCTGACAATATTTTCATTTGGTATCTAATGCAGAGACCAAGAAGGTTATTTCACTCTTGGGTTAATAAAGCATTATCTTGACATAATGGCCAAGATAATGCTTTTTTATAACCATAACAGTAGAGAAGCTGCCTCTGATGATGAAATGCCATTCTCCAAGTGAGCTCACTGCATCACCAGTGTACAGGGTAGCCAGTGACACCCACTCACATTCACATGCTCCTCACTCTCAGAGGCATTCTGATACAGTGAAAAGCATACTGTACTGGGTGCTAGGAGGCATCAGGGCAAATCCTGGCTCTGGCACTGATGTACTTCATCTAATTTACTAACAAGTTATGCCCCTCCCGACACCGAACATCACTTTCTCTTACCATAAAACGAGGAGGTTTTGCTAGATAGTTTCTGTTGTGGAGCCTATGATCTCCATAATCATGTGAGCCTAAATCAGGACAGTGAAAGCAGGAGTGCACAAACTCAGGCGGAGAACCAGAGGGAGTCATTCAGATAGCAGGATTCTCCAGCTGGGGGTGGTGCTCTCTCCTTTGTTGTTGCTGGGTCATTTTCAATTGTATCTGACTCTTTGTGACCCCATTTGGAATTTTCTTGGCAAAGATGCCGCAGTGGTTTGCTATTTCCTTTTTTTTAGGCAATTGGGGTTAAGTGACTTGCCTGGGGTCACACATCTAGTAAGTGTCAAATGTTTGGTCTGAGGCCGAATTTGAGCTCAGGTTCTCCTGATTCCAGGGTTGGTGCTCTATCCACCGAGCCACCTAGCTGCCCCATTGCCATTTCCGTTTTCAGTTCATTTTACAAATGAGGAAATTGAGGCAGAAAGGGTTAAGTGACTTGCCCAAGGTCATACAGCTAGTATGAGTCTGAGGCCAGATATGAACTCAGGAAGATGAGCCTTTCTGACTCCAAGCCCTCTACTGTACCACCTACCTGCCCAATTTCTCTCTTCTACCATTAGCCTCTGCAGGGTAGCTGTGGCAAAGACTCAGGACTAGTAATTCGACTACTCAGTAGGTCATTAAACATGTTTTGAATGCTTACTATGTACCAGGCACTGTGTTAAGTGCCGGGATACAAATAAAGGTAAAGACAATTCTACTCTCAAGGGCTCACAATCTAAAAATCAGTCAGTCAATAAACATTTATTAAGTGCCTATTACGTGCCAGGCACTGTGCTAAGCGCTGGGGATATAAAAAGAGGTAAAAGAATAAAATAAACACTCCCTTAAAAAAACTTAAGAGGTAAAAGGTCCCTGCCCTCAAGGAGCTTACAATCTAATGGGGGGGGAGGGACAACATGCGAATAACTATGTACAAACAATCTGCATACAGGATAAATAGAAACTAACCCACAGAGGGATGGCAGTAGCATTAAGGGGGATAGGGAAAGACTTCCTGTAGAAGATGGGATTTTAGCTGAAATCTGAAGAAGCCAGGATACAGATCTGAGGAGGGAGAGCACCATATGGGTTAGTTCCGGAGGCCCCGCCAACTCTCATGTTCTGTGTTTTTGCAATCTGACCTGGCCACTTGTCCTCTGCTCACTCCACTTCAGGGAATATTGAGAGAACATGATGAGTTCCTCAAGAGGAATGTTTGTAGGACTGAGAGAGTGACTTCCTTGCCAGCAACTCTGGGAATCCTACCCCTCAAGGCAGTTTGTAGGAGTCAGGGCTGCTCCCACAGAAGCTGACCCTTCTGGTAAGGGGCTGTAGGACTCAGCGTTCCACCTCTGGGTTCCTCGAGAGCAGAGATCTTGGGTCAGGACCCTATTTATTTGTGTCTCTCGATGGGAACTGGGTTTCAGATATATGAGGTAAATTATAACTGATGAGAACATGCTGCAGGCTAGATTGTTTTTCTTCTTATCTTAAGAGGGCAGCTTTAAGGACCTCCATTAAATTTTTTTTTTTTGGATACAGACCTGCAATTTCACCAGTATAGAGACTCCCTGATATATTCCCATGCAGAAAGAGTTATCTGAGGGCACCGACAGTTTAAATCCCTTGCTCAATGTCACAGCTAGCATACATCATAGTCAGCACTTGAACCTGGGTCTTTCTGACTCCAAGGCTATCTCTTTGTCCCCTACACTGGGACGAGGCAAATGAGTCAGCACCCTAACAGTGGTAATAAAAGAGGCTTGAGGCTCTTCCAAATACAACCCATAAATATTCCAATTTGCCAAGGTCAACCTAGTGGGGCAGTTTCTCCACTTTTAAACATAGATATCTCAAATTGTCCTTTGGTGACTTTTCTTCCTTCTTTAGATGTTTATCTTATTTATTATTTTATCATATTACTTAGTTCAATCTGTTTCTGGTTGGTTGATATCCTTCATTCTCCAAAAGGACCAGAATGACATCACTATGCTGCAGTCAAGTTTCAGTGCATCTGACTGTGGCTAAGCAGACCAGGATGAGCTCGGAATGCTCTACCATAGTGCGGGCACAAATAGTCCATGTGAATATTTGGGGTGGAGCCTCTAAATTTGCACATCTTGCCTTTCTTTTGAGATATTTCGATTCTGCTTTGCTCATAGAGCATGGCACCTTCTCTGACGAGGGCACGCCATGCTGAGCAGTTGTGTGCCAATGTCTCCCATGTCAAGCAATCAATTCCAAAGTTAATCTGTTTATTGTTGAAATGAAACACCCAGTGTTTCCAAGTCCACACTCCCCTAAAGTGAAAGACCACCTTGATGCTGGCATTGTGCCCGCTCTCCGTCCATCATACCCCTGCGGTATGTTATCAGAAGCGTGTGCATTTTTGCAGTGCTTAGCAGGCTGACAATCATCGTCCTATGGCACCAAAGTACTAGGAGGCAGGTAGTGCCAGTTTTATCAGACAAGAGAACTGAGTCTCCAAGAAGTTAAACAACTTACCCAGTCTCACACCCTGTAAGTGACAGAGCCCACACCTGAACCCAGGACTCTTGAATCAAGGTCTTACCTCGATGACACCTTGCCCCTGCTTCTGCATGAGGCCAACGACAAGGATCGTTTCTGACTATTTTTCACATTCCATCTAAAGTTCCTGAATCTGGATAGCAGCCAGTAGGGGGCACTATGAGCTTTCCCTTTTCCAGCCCCTCAACTAGGTTAACCATCCATCCGTCTAATTGAAATGTACAGCTGCAGCCTGGACGGAGAGGATTCAGCTGTCAGATAATGAGCTGGAACATCTACTCCTGCTCAGCTTCATGGAGGGCAAAACTGAAGCAAACCTATAGAATGTAAAAAATGGACGGCACCATGGTCACACAGGTAGTTGATAGCAGAGATAGAATTTAAACCCCGATCCAATTGCTCTTACCACTAATGAGCGACATTCTGAATAACACCATCTCAGCTCACAAGAACCAATTGAGAGCTGATTGTTAAATTTTCCATGTGAGTATTTATGCCTGGAAAACCATCAAATGCTACAAATTGATGCCTGGTAGATTGTTTTGTTGCTTGTCTAGGCTAAAGAAAATGATGGAGAATGTGTTAAATCAGATTAAACTCAAAGGTATGTTCTGTGTACATTTTTCCAGAAAGCCAGTTTTAAATTATTTTCTATTATTTATATAATATTAAATATTGTTATTAAAATACTAAATGATAAATTTAAAAACAAATTATTAAATAATAAATAAAATATTAAACATTATTTATATAATGTTTAAATACCTCTGCTTCCAACTCCAAAGTTCCTTAATTCTGTGAAATAAATGTGTTAATATCATAGGAAAAGAAAAAAACACAAAGAACTGAGTGTTCAATTTTTTTTCAGTGTGATTATTTACACCTTGGCAATCGACAAAAACTACAAATCAGGGCTTGATTTACTGTTTTGCTTATTGTCTAGACTTAAAAACAGATGAAGAAAATGTTTATCAAGCAAATTAAACTTAAAAATTTGTCATGGTTTCAGAGAACTGGTTGTTAATCATTTATTAGGACACTCATGCAACTAACCCCATGGCATGATCTCACCCAAGAGCTCATTGTTGAATTTTAACAACTTATCTGTGCACCAGTTGGAGGTTTGGGATTTTGTGAGCAGTTATTATCGTTCGAGTCAGAGGAAAAGTTGAATGGACCCTCAGAGTCAATTATTGTTTTATCTCTCTACTGATCAATCCATTATCAATAAGTATTTATGAAAGACCTACTATGTGGCCAACACTGAACTAGGATATAAAGATAAAAATCAGAGTCCCCACCACTCAAGGACCTTCTAGTCTATTACTCTAGAATATAATTCATAGATTTAGAGCTGGGAGAAGCTTTAGAAGTCATTTAGGCCAGCCCTTTTTTATTTAAAAATCTATTTAAAATTTTTATTTTTAAATATTTTATTTTTTTCAATTACATATAAAAACAATTTTTAGCATTCCTTTTTAAAAAATGTTGAGCTCTGAACTCTTTCCCTCTTTTTTCACTTCTCCCCTCATTGAAAAAGCAAGCAATTTGATATAGGTTATACATGTGCAGTCATGCAAAACGTATTTCCATATTAGTCATGTTGTGAAAGAAAACAGAAAAAATACAACAATCCAACAACCCAAGAAAGATAAAGAAAGTGAAAAATGGTATGATTTTATCGGCATTCAGACTCCATCAGTTCTTTCTCTGATGGTAGATAGCGTTTTTCATCATGAGTCTTTTGGGAATTGTCTTAGATCATTGCATTGATGAGAATAAGTAAGTCATTCATGTTGATCATTATATAATTTTTAAAAATTTTTATTTTGAATTAATTAATTAATTAATTGATTTTTAGTTTTCAACATTCACTTCCACGAGATTTTGAGTTTCAAATTTTCTCCCCATCTCTCCCTTCCCCCCACCAGAGATGGTATGCTTTCTAAATACCCCTTCCCCTAATCTGCTCTGCCTTCTATCACCCCCCTTCTCTTATTCCCTTTTCCTTCTATTTTCCTGTAGGGCAGGATAGATTTCTATACCCCATTGCCTGTGTATCTTATTTCCCAGTAGCATGTGAAAACAATTTTCAACATTCATTTATAAAACTCTGAGTTCCAAATTCTCTTCCTTCCTCCTCCCCACCCACCCTCATTGAGAATGCAAGTGATTCCATATAGGTTACACGTGTATAGTCATGCAAAACACTTCCATAATAGTCATGTTGTGAAAAACTAACTATATTTCCCTCCATCCTATTCCCCCCCATTTATTCTATTCTCTACTTTGACCCTGTCCCTCCTCAAAAGTGTTTGCTTCTGATTACTCCCTCCCCCAATCCGCCCTCCCTTCTATCAAAACCCTCTCTTATCCTTTTCGCACCTATTTTCCTGTAGGGTAAGATGGATTTCCATACTCGATTGAGTATGTATGTTATTCCTTCCCTAATCCAAATCCTATGAAAGTAAGATTCACTCATTCCACCTCACCTCCCCCCTCTTCCCCTCCACTGAAAAAGCTTTTCTTGCCTCTTTTATGTGAGATAATTTACCCCATTCTACCTCTCCCTTTCTCCTTCTCCCAGTATAATCCTCTCTCACTCCTTAATTTTATTTTTTAGATATCATCCCTTCGTATTCAACTCACCCTGTGCCCTCTGTACACAGAGTGTACAGTGTGTGTGTGTGTATGTATGTGTATGTGTATGTGTATATATTATATATGTATATGTGTGTGTATGTATATATATATATATATATGTATGTGTATATATTATATATATATATTCCCTCCAACTACCCTAATACTGAGAAAAGTCTCATGAGTTACAAATATCATCTTTCCATGTAGGAATATAAACAGTTCAACTTTAATAAGTCCTTTATGGTTTCTCTTTCCTGTCTACCTTTTCATGTTTCTCTTGAGTCTTGTATTTGTAAGTCAAATTTTCTGTTCAGCTCTGGTCTTTTCATTAAGAATGCTTGAGGGGCAGCTGGGTGGCACAGTGGGTAGAGCTCTGGCCTTGGAGTCAGAAAGATCTGAGTTCAAATCTGGCCTCAGACACTTGATACTTAATAGCTGTGTGACCCTGGGCAAGTCACTTAGCCCCAATTGCCTTGCCCCCCCCAAAAAGAATGCTTGAAAGTCCTCTATTTCCTTGAATATCCATTTTTTCTCCTGAAGGATTATACCCAGTTTTGCTGGGTAGGTGATTCTTGATTTTAATCCTAACTCCTTTGACCTCCAGAATATCATATTCCAAGTGCTCCAATCTATTAATGTAGAAGCTGCTAAATCTTGTGTTATCCTTATTGTGTTTCCATAATACTTGGATTGTTTCTTTCTGGCTGCTTGCAATATTTTTTCCTTGACCTGGGAACTCTGGAATTTGGCTATAATATTCCTAGGAGTTTTTCTTTTGGGATCTCTTTCAGAGGGGATTGATGGATTCTTTCAATTTCTATTTTAACCTTCTGGTTCTAGAATATCAGTGCAATTTGCCTTGATAATTTCTTGAAAGATGATGTCTAGGCTCTTTTTTTGATCACGGCTTTTAGGTAGTCCAAAAATTTCAAAATTATCTCTCCTGGATCTACTTCCCTGGTCAATTGTTTTTCCAATGAGATATTTCGTCTTCTATTTTTCATTCTTTCAGTTTTGTTCTATAATTTCTTGATTTCTCATGGGGTCATTAGCTTCCATTTGTTCCATTCTAATTTTTAAGGAATTATTTTCTTCAGTGAGCTTTTGGACCTCCTTTTCCATTTAGACAATTCTGCTTTTTAAGGCATTCTTCTCCTCATTGGCTTTTTGGACCTCTTTTGCCATTTGGGTTAGTCTATTTTTTTTTTTGAAAGATGATTTAATTAAATCATTGCACTCGGTCGTTTTATTGCTATAGCAAAACAAGGCCATTTTATTATTGTTAACACCTTTCATTTATAATTTTAACTGATTGTTTTATTCTGCTCCTCCATTGTAAATTTTCATGTGGACAAAATGTTTAAAATAATTTGGAACACATTTCTTTGTGCTATAATCACAGTGATAAAAATAGAAAATAAATTTGTATGACATCAGGCCTACTTTTCTATTTTTATCATCACAGAAATCTTAATACTTCTAAAGAAAAAAATTTACAGACACTACAAATATTTTTAAAATTAGGAGTGTTCATTTTTGATGCCTTTGGGAAGGAAAGTGAATACTGAATCAATCCGTTATGTTTCAAAAACTGTGGCATACTTTATATACAGTACATTCTCAGATAATTTAGTATTTTAATGGCCACTACAGATATCACACAGTCGACTCAAAGCTTTGTGCTTATGAGCACATTAAAAAATTTTAAATCAATGGATGAAAATTGTACCCCTCTCAGAATGTAAATTCCGCATTCCCACATATAATATTGCTATGTACAATAATATGATGATACAGTTCTCATGAAAAGGGATTTCTAGTGACATCCTGTTATTTACCAAAACTGTACTGGTGACTTGCCATACTGAAGAAATGTTTTTCTTCTTTAAATGGAGACAGATAAGTTGAGACCATTTAATGCAATTATGTTTCCCTATCTATTTAAGAAGGAAGTTAGGAAAAGAGCTGCTAATGGATACTGGGGACTTTCCTATATATTTTTTTTTGCAAATCTCATATTTAAAAAAAAGTTTGTTGTCCCAATGTGTTATAATCAACATAAGAATGATCTTAACTACTAGCAAACCAAGGAAGAGAATATTTAATTTCTCAACTTCTTCCCAATCAGGAAAAGGAAAAACTTCCTTAAATATACTTTCTAATGAAGATGATTCCTAGAATATAAAAAGCTTAAAATTTTCCCCTCTAACACTGTCATTAAAACCAAGTGGGGGAGACGGAGTATCTGAGGGAAAGGTTTGGGTATAAAAACAAAAAAAAAAAATCTTCATTTGCTTGGTCATTTTAAAAATGCACATGGAATACTGGTAGCTAATTTTGATTAGTGATGATTTCATTGGGACAGAAATCTATGACCTTCATAATGAGGCAACACATACATTTAACCAAAGATCAGCTACCCCCAAAGCAGTATTATGCATTATTTCAATATCAGTATGTTGATCATCCTGTATTAAAAAATGTTTCAGTTGTACAAAATTAAATTGTAAAGCAAAAATTTGTATTGAGTTTTAAATTGAAATAACAGAAAAAAAATTAAATCATTCTGGCACACTGCTATCTCACAACTTTCAAATCTTGTAATTTCATACACTGGAAATCCACTGGTCACTTGCTATGATGGAGCTAAGCCCTAAACTGTGGCATTGTTTGTTAAAAGACAAGTCTATTTTTTAAAGTGTTATTTTCTTCAGTATTTTTTAGGGGTCTCCTTAGCAAGCTGTTGACTTGTTTTTCATGATTTTCTTGCATTACTCTCATTTCTCTTTCCAATTTTTCCTCTACTTCTGTTACTTGCTTTTCAAAATTCTTTTTGAGCTCTTCCATGGCCTAAGACCAATTGCTATTTTTCTTGGAGGGTTTGGATGTAGGAGCTTTGACTTTGTTGTTTT